GATGGCTAAGGCAAGGAGCAATGGGGATGGTGCCACCCTTGTCTCTTACCTTGTTTAATAGAAATTGATTCAGAGTGATAACCCATGTACTGTATCATACTCTTGCGGATGGATCAGCACACAGAGCCCCCATCCAGGTAAGGAATTGCAGTCCAAAGCCCCAATTCCACAAGTTGGAGAACAGATACTCCCATGAAGGGAATCAAAAGCTTTTCTGATATCCAGGAAATATTTTATCTTTATTGTCTACAACATTTTGTTTTCAGGGAAAGTATTTTTAGACCAGTTTTTATTCATTTTACATTGTCTTACAAAAGGTAGGTAATTTGCACATAACCTCCCACTTTCCCTCACTTTCTTTAGGCCTGTAAGGTATGTAATATCCTGATGTCCAACACAGGGAGCAGGTACTGTATTTTAATAGTGAAGCCAATTTAGTAGGGAAACTCGTTGCTTTTTATCAGGTTATAAAGTATTTTATATAAAGTATTGGGCAAGTGTTTTGCCCAAACCTAACTTAGCCACTTATCTGCTGACCACAAAATTTTAATCTTCAAGCAAATGATCATATCTTGTAAACATAGTGGGCAAAATCGCACTGTTTCCTGAGATAACGGAGGACAATGATGCACAGTGTCTCATTTTTGAAAAACAGTCTTTTTGCAAAACATCTTATTAATGGCATTGATCACCTCCTTATTTCTAAGGCTGTATATAATGGGATTTAATACTGGAGATGCAATGGCATACAGAGCCGATACAACTTTATCAGCTTCTAATTGGTTGCTGAAGGCAGGCCGGACATAGGTGTAGATGACTCCTCCATAAAATATAGTTACCACAGTGAGGTGTGAGGCACAGGTAGAGAACGCCTTCTTTTTCTTCTCAGCAGAATGAATTTTCATTATAGTGAAAATTATATATGTATAGGAAATTACAGTCAAAATAAAACAAATCATTCCCAGCAGCACATCAGATGCCACAATGACAACATCATTAACATATGTGTCCGAATTTGCCAGCTTTAAAACTGGGGGAATTTCACAGAAAAAATGATCAATTATATTTTGCTCCCTGAATCTGAGTTTCAGTATGAGGCAGGTATGAGTCATTGAGTTCACAGAGCCAAGGACCCAAGCAGATCCTGCCAGACATATGCATACTGTTCTGCTCATTATTGTTTTGTACTGCAAAGGAAAACATATTGCCACATATCTGTCATACGCCATAACCGTCAGAAGAATCAGTTCAGTACTTAGAGCAGCAGTGAACAGATATAACTGGGAGATACAGCCAGAATATGAGATGGACTTCTTATCTATCACAAGTATCTGGAGCATTTTGGGGATGGCAGCTGTAGTGCAACAAATGTCCAATATGGAAAGATTTATAAGAAAGAAATACATTGGAGTGTGAAGACGAGGATCTGAACTTATTACAACTGATATTAATACATTTCCAACCAAGGCCATTATGTAAATCAGTAAGAATATGGTAAAGAAAAGAGGTTGGAGGCTTGGGTAGTGGGAGAGTCCTAACAAAAGGAACTGCATGGATGATGTTTGATTCATTTTGGTTTGCATTAAGATTTATTCCTGCAAAACACAAGTAAACATATAGATCATATATTCACTCAGAAAAAAAATAAATCACAAACAAATGTATACTACATGATTTCTTACATAGTCAAGAACAGAAAAAAAAGTAACCGATGGTCATTGTATACATTGCTGTCTGCAGTGTAATGTATTAAAGGTACAGATATACTGATAAGAGATGGGTACATTGTATGGGTGAACACTCGGGTAGATACAACTAGGGCTCTACAGATATCCTGGGCAGCAAGTATTGCAAAACATTTTGATTGCCGTCTATATATACAGTATGTTTTCTCTTCAAATCTAATCACTGCTAGCAACCACCAAGTTAACTCTCACCGTAATTAGTAGTAGATTTAAGTGTACAATCTTAAACATAAGTTTACCTGTTCTGGGTAGTTTGCTATTTGCCTATGGGAAAAACATTCTATGGCACCTTATGTAGGAAAACAGCAGTTTGTTAAATACATTTACTGTTTAAAGGCTTATTATTATTATACAGGATTGATATAGTGCAGCACTTTACAATATAAGGAAGACAATACAATTCAAGACAAGATGATAAGGAGGGCCCTGCCCGTGAGGGCTTACAGTCTACAAGTATGACCATACTCTGGATGTATCTTATGCAGCTGGCCTGGACATAAAAATAATTGGCATCCAAGGTGCATATGCCAAGAATGCATTATGTATGCTTGAGGGCGAGAATATAGACTGCGGAGCATTCACTGCAGACTAACAGAAACGATAAACACTGAACAAGCTGGGAATGGAGTCTGCATTGATTCTGTGGTTTAATTATGGTGAGGAGAGGCCTTGTACACAGGTACAGTTGGGGTTGTTCCTAGGAGCTTATACTCTTCAACTTTGGGCCCTTTAACATGGCCAAGCAGTATATAAAGCACACATGTGAGATAGCCTATGCACAGCTATATAAATATTTACATGCATATAAATAATTGTTATTGAAAACAATGGTAACTACTGCGGTTGTGTTGCCAGTGCATAATTTGGAACTTACACCCTACAGGTCACTGAACCTGCGATATAGTAAGTACCTTCAATACATCAAATTTTCAGTAAGAACACAGTCAAAACTGCTGCTACAGCATTTTAAACCACAGGTTCAACTTAAAATGTTGTACAGGCTTCTAGTGGACGAATGCAAGATGATGGTGATGTCTTTAAATGCATACCAGCCTGGAGACCGTCACATACTGTATGTAAGTCTACCTTTATAGTATTGTGAGAGCTGTGATGCGTTTACAAGAAATATCATGTTTGTTAGCTGCATTCCTTTTTCTTGGAATATGGTTATTCTCTCCATGGACCATTCATTGTTCTGGATAGTTAATTCTAACCTTGGACCTTTTCTTTTTATTCAGGGCTATTCAATCTAGTGTGTGGCTCCAGTTAATTCTGTTATTGTGTTAGACCTCATTGTCACCTGTGCAAAATCATATAATGCTGCCCTTGAAAGCAACTTAAACCTCCCATTTATACATGTCGGAGAATTTCTGCTTTGCCTTTGGGGATCTGAGAAAGGGTTCTATATGATGTAGATGACATTTCATTTACTTTCTTTGTGTATTTTTCCCCTTATTTACCTACCTTGACATCTGACACGTATCAACAACCCAATCCATGATTCAGTCTTATACATATACACAAACATACATATATAGACCTCTAATCCACTCTACTATATCACTCATCCTTCCATTTCTTCCTCTTCACACACACACACAAACATTCATTCGTCATCCATTCCCACTTTTATGCATCCCTTCACTCTTCTATACAAACATCTAGAACTCATATACCACCACAAAAACAATATAGCATTTTTTTCAAATCAAATTTTATTTCCAGTGTTGCATTTTTCTAAACATTTTCTTTTCAACAAGTTTTGCAATGTGTTGCATTTTGTATATAATTCTAGTTTTCCCCTTTTTGTTTTTCAGTTCAAGTCTAATCAAAATGAAAAGCCCTTGACAATACATACAAGCATATGTGAGATATAAACTTATAGTTCCTATTATTTTTGTAACCAAATGTTTATTTTGTAAAATGGCCTTCTTAAATCTCCTTTTCACAAATAAGAACAAAATAACAAACTTCCTGTGTTTTGCCATCCTAGGAGATTGATGAGGATTTCAATGGTAGGAAGACCATCACAGCAAAAGTAAAGGTTTCTTATGTCATGGGAGCTATGTCATGAATGAAAGGACTTCTGTCAGAAAAAGCCAATGTCATACAGTTACTGTATGTTATGCAAGGAGCTAAAAAAAGGTATTTTTCTAATTCATTTAACCCCTTCATGACTGAGCTTGTTTTTAGTTTCTGTTCGTAAATGACTTGACATTTTTGCTGTGTGATTCTTCCACGTCAGTAATATACTTTCTTACAAAGTGCACGCACACATATTATATATTGTTTTTTAGAGGACAGATAGGGCTACATATTTATATCACATATGGGTGTCTAACGCCTCACTTAGGACAAATAAAATATTAAAAAAAGAGGAAAAAACGTTAAAAAAAAACACTTTTTCCCAGTTTTGATTTGTAGTATTTTTTACAAAACCAGCACAGCTAAAAAAAAAAAAATGCAATCAATACATTCATTTATTTGTCCTTTAATTTTTTTTTTTTTACACTTTATTTTTTTACACTTTTCACAATTTTTTAAAAACTTTTAACATTTGTATTTTATTTATTTAATTATATCAAGCAGTCATTGTGAATTATTCTCACTATTACTGCTTGATAAATTATACATTTTTGGTTATTATTAGGCTGCTTCAAACTTCAGAACAGCCAATAATAAGTTAGTGACACTGATCCTGCAGCAGTTCAGGATTCAGCTGTCACTAAAGGTTTTCTGATCGTTCCAACAACGATCAGAAAAATGAAACATTCTTCTTTCAGGAATAGATACATTATGTATCTATTCCTGAAAGTGAAAGAAAAAAAAAAGCCAGTATACGCCGGCATGCCGGCATGTTTGCCCGCTCTGCTTTGACTCTCAGACACCCGATATTGGGGTATCAGGTGTCTAAAAAGGTTAACCCTTTCATTAATGGATGGTCTACGTTACCAGCCCTCTAATGCAGCAAATAACTCGTCACGTACAGTGTACGGGACGAGTCATTTGGTCCCCCGTACGGGTGTACGTCTCCCGTCACGAAGGGCTTAAAGGACTTATGTTTTATAGTTTAGGAAGATCTTACACATCCTGGTGCTCTTCTTCTTCTTCAACATCTCAATCAGGTTCTAAGGAAAACAAATATTCTTTAAAGAAGTGTTTTGTCTAAAAATAAAAATAGAGCTTGTTTTTAGTTTCTGTTCGTAAATGACTTGACATTTTTGCTGTGTGATTCTTCCACGTCAGTAATATACTTTCTTACAAAGTGCACGCACACATATTATATATTGTTTTTTAGAGGACAGATAGGGCTACATATTTATATCACATATGGGTGTCTAACGCCTCACTTAGGA